ATATCTGATTTACCTATCATTCTACTGGTTAGCTCCTGGTATTTATATGAAAATCATGAATACATAATAAAGTACCATGCTAAAAATATGTTCATCCTAATTTAAATTTTAAACAAACCACCACTATTCTAAATGATTTATTATTTAGTTACAAAATATAAATTTAAGATATTGTTATTAAATTACAATAAAAAAATAAAAAGATATTCTAAGTTAACAAATAATAGGAGGTTAACATTAATCATAGTCAAATTATATATAAGTAAAACAAAAAAGTTATACATTTAATCAAAAATGTTATAAGTTATGAAAAATATAACAATTAAATTATGAAGTTATGAGAAAATATACAAAACTATGGAATGCATGTAGAAAGGCCAATACAGAAAAGATAAGAGAGATGCAAATATTTACTTATGCATAAAAATTACCTAATTAAGAGATATAAAGTTGTATAAAATTCAATGTGGAATGGATCCTTCTTAAGGGTTTAAACATAAAACTCTCATCTAGAATAAATTTTTAGATTATAAAATACAAATGAATAAAAATTTAATTTAAAAGACTTTTTAATTGTACACATAAATTAAAATTACTAAATATATACTTTATTAACATATTTTATAAATAATGGAAAATTTTAGAATAACCCCAAATAAATATAAATTTTTAAATAACACCTCATAAGATAGGAAAATTTCTGATTCATCCCTCATCAAATAAAAGAGAAAATTCTGATTCCCCATATAATGGTTTAAATTTTAAATAATACATAAATTCAAGAATTAAAAAAGTATTTAAATAAATCTCGTACTTGAATTGGTACTTGATGCATATAAAGTTCTAATGATCCCTAAATATTCAGGAATAGGTATAATATTAGGTGTGTATGTATTTAATTATCTTGTGCGTTTGAATTTTAAAGTAGGTACTCAGATTAAGAAAAATAAATATTTTACCAGATTAAGGAAAAAAAACATTTGCCGGGATTCGAACCCAAGTCCAAAAATCCATCTAGATTTGTAAGCGAAGTTCTTGCCCGATTGAGCCACAGGCACATTTCAAAATTAACGATTTTTTGAATTTATATTATAAAGTGTGACATGAAAAGTGGGACATGAGAAGCGTAATGCTATTTTTGTGACAAGGCTTTTATATACACTACCAGCCATAAATGACTGCCCACCCTGCATTTTTACATAAAAAAATTAATAACTTAAAACTTTTTTTACTTATTTGGGTAAAAGCGAATTGATTATTTAATTTAAGATGTCTAGACATGTTTAGAAATAAAAAACTCGGAGTTTCTATAAATCTTTCTATGAAATTTTCGCCTTTGAAAATAACATGTCAAAAATGACCAATTTGGTAAAATAGGGTTCATTAATTTTTTTCAGCAACAATTTTAAGTTGCCCATTAATTTTTGGAAGAAAGTTATTAATCACATTCTAATCTGCTTATTAATACCTATTTTTAATTATTTTTAAAAAAAATTCCTAGATTTTTTTTGTTTTAAATCATTGTCTAAAGAAACTTTCAGTCTTTATAAATATTTTAACGTACATTCGACCAAAAAGAAATTTCTATTCCAACTAAATACAAAATAATTAATTTACCCATAAGTGGTAAAAGTAATCGCCGAATTGCCAGAGAATTAACCCTAGCTCGACGAACAGTCGATTGTATACTTAATGGAATCCAAAGAGGCCTGAAAGACACCGCAAAACGACTTTAAGCGATGATAGGTATATAGCAAGGATCAGTAAACGCAATCGACGCCTTGTCGCCTCAGAGATAGCTGCGGAGATTAATCTGACTCGGGAAAACCCGATAAGTGTCACAACTGTGAAAAGGCGCCTTAGGAGCTTTGAACTTTATGGTAGGGTAGCGGTCAAAACTTTTAAGCAAAAAAAATAAACTCAAGCGATTAGACTGGGCACGAAAACATCGATTTTGGACATCTGCCAACTGGTACCACGTCTTATGGAGTGATGAGTCAAAATTCGAAATCTTCGGTTCTAAATAAGGCAATATATCCGCCGCTCAGCTGGAGAGCGAATGAGCGATCACTGCATAATTCCTACAGTCAAACTCGGGGGAGGGTCTGTTATGGTGTGGGGGTGCTTTGGTGAATCTACAACAACACGATATTCTCGAGTTGATGACTTGGCCATCCCAGTCTCCCGATCTCAATCCAATAGAACTTTTATGGGATCACCTTGATCGACAAGCGCGAAAAAGCCCACTAACCTCTCATTCGCACCTTTGGGAAGTATTGCAGAGAGAATGGAAGAATATCACTTCCAAATATTTAAAAAATCTCATCGAAAGATTACCAAAATTTTTGCAGCTATTATAAAGAATAAAGGTGGTCATATGATGAGACCAAAATTTGATCTTAAATAATTGCTGTCTTTTATTTTTTGTAATTTTATGCAATAATATGTAAACTTATAAATAAATTCGATAAACCACATATTGTGCGTTATTGGTCTTATTTTAAGAAAAATGTTAAGAAAATGCAGGGTGGGCAATCATTTATGACTGGTAGTGTATATTATAGATTATATATAATATCGTCGGTCTAGAATTTGAGTGCTCCACTCGACATTTTCAAAATATTTGAGTTAGAAGTGGATAATAACTTATTTACCAATATATATAAAAATAAAAACTAGATTAAAAATATATTAATTTTTGCCAAAGTTATTGTCAAAATTGATAAATAAATTTTTATTATATTTGATTTTAAACTTTAATTTTGATTTTCTCATTTTAAATATTCAAAATTTTTGAATTAAAGTGGATAATAATTTATTTATTCCCAATTATATATAAATATAAAAATTAGATTAAAAAATATTAATTTTTAACAAAGTTATTGTCAAAATTAATCATAAGTTTTTCCTATATTTAATTTTAAACTTTAATGCTGATTTTCTTATTTTAAACATTTACGTAAGTGGAGCACTCCAATTCTAGATCGACGATATAATACTACTACAATACAAACAAAAATAATTACATGAAAAAATGACCCCAAAATGTTTTTTTTAAATTATATTTTTTTTGAATAAAAAAACAATTGTTTTGAATAAGAACTCTTTTTAAATAGAAAATCTTTTATAAATAAAAATAGTAAATTACATGTTTTTTATATTTTATTATTTTTAACATATAATTTAAAATAAATAAAATGAAAGTTTAAATAAAAAAAATAAATTTTTTAAAATTAAAAAAAAATTTGAACTCTGAACCCTAAATTATAAAAAAGGTTTGGGTTCGGCGAAATATTGAGGGTTCGGGTTCAGGGTTTGGATTATTGTCCCTGTTTTATAGTTTAAAATATAATCATCTGAAAAAAAACATGTCAATGATGAAATTATACAATCTTATTCTTAATTAACCAAACTATTACAAAAAGAATAATTCGAAACTTCGATCCTGAAAGTGTAATAAGCCGATTTTTAAAAACGGCTAACTTAATATTTTCGCATTAAAAAATATTACCGAAACCTCGTGACTTAGCTACTAGATGTCCAAACCCTTGTGCTTTTTATGAGCAAAATCTTTAAGCTTGCGTAATAATTTTGTGGGGAAAAGAAATATTGAGTTAGCAGTTTAAAATCGTCTCAAATCGAGCCGTTGTATAATATTTGAAAAGTGAAGTAGTTATGGCGGTCATTTCATTTTCGAACCCGGCTCAATATTTTTTATCTTTCATTTTTTAGAGTTCGGCCTTTAATTTTTTAAATTTCGCCTTTTGGGCTGTATTTTGCTAATTGTTCTAAAGGGAAATTGAAAATATTAGTATAATTATTGCACTCCATAAATAAGCTTTAACTGATAAATGTACATAATTTCAAAAATAATAATTAAAATCGGCTAAGCCCGTGTTTTGTGAAAACAATATTTATATGCTTGCCCGCTTTATTTTCCTAAAATTATGAGAATGGTTTTGGTCCGAACCTGCAGATCTGATTCATTTAGCTTTGATATCGAACTTAGGTATACATAAATATGGCATAACCACCACAAATTGACAAGATATTATCATCTATGTATGACATATTAAATTGAAGGGTTGTACCGATCCATATATTTTTCTCCGATACAATATTTTCCGATATTAGCTAGTTGTTAAACGGCTCATTTTGAGCCGATTTTTAAAAACGGCTAACTCAATATTTTAGCCTGAAAAATATAGCCTAAGCCTTGAGATTTCGCTAATAGATGTCCAAACCTTTGTTTCTTCTACAAACAAAATCTCCAGGCTTAAGTTAAATTATTCTGGATGAAATAGTGAGTTAGCCGTTTTTAAAAATCGGCTCAAAACGAGCCGTTTAACAACACTAGATATTACTACAAACCCGAGATGATATATTTAAATTGATTTTATACACAATCTATTCTTGGTCATAATATCCATAATATTTTTTATTCAAAAATATGGGCAATATTTAAGGTTGAAATGTAGTGTTGTTAAACGGCTCGATTTTGTGGATTTCCCAAAACTGCAAGATAAAGATAATAGTCAAAATATTATTGCCTAAACCTTGAAATTTCAATAACCTTTTGCCAGTGGTGGACAAAATCTCTCAGCTTAGATAATTTATTTTTGGCTAAAATCTTTTGTTATTTTAAAATCCTTTTCTTGTTGCAGATAGTATAATAAAAAATAATATCAAATTTTAAGTTATTCTATCTTTTAAAATAATTTTATTATTAAACATTATAAATAAATTGAATTTTGGTTCCTTTTATTAATTTGTTAATAATAATTATAAAATTATATATAAAATCATAATATTACATACAGCAATGAAATTATCAGACCGGTGGTTTTTGAAAATATCGACGCGATCCAATATGTTTTAAGAAAACTAGATATCGGCTCAGCTTGTTAAAAGCACTTAAATCAATAAATTATGTAAATAAAATAATTGAATACCTGTGACGAAAAAAAGATTATGATGTAACACTGTTTAAAAATTTTTACCTCACTTATGCCGCAGTTAACGGCAGTCACGAATTTGGACGTAATAGGGGGTGCAAGGGAAGTATGGGGTATAAAACCCAAGGACTTCCCTGCAGCGAGGTGACTGTGCGAGAGAATTTGGTTGTTGGTAAGGGTAACGGGGTAGGCGGTAGCCGTTTCCGAATCAGATGCTAGGACGTCGGTACTCCAGGTCTCGCTCACAAGGGAAATGTTTTCGTCACCTGTTCGTTAGATATGTATATAAAATAATGGATTGAATAGATGGTTGGGCAAACCAGGAAGGTATACCTTATATATAATTTTATATATCAGCTACTGAAATCTGTTAAAATTAAAAGTATCGCCAGAGGTGCATCACTGAGTTAAACGTAAATAAAAAGATGGTGTTTAAAGGAAGCACGTGAATTATTTATAAAAAGACGGGTTGTGAAATATGGAATACCTGCAGGCAGGGATTCGAACCGAACCCGAAGAAGTGAACCCGGGTTTTTAGAAAAAAACTCTGAACCCGAACCGAACCTGAACCCCATTTATAAAATTTTCAAAACCCCGAACCGAACCCAAGAATTTTATTTGAACCCGGGTTCAGTGTATTATTTAAAATCATATATTAATATATGTAAATACAAATATTATATTTTCAAATTTCCAATTAAATGAAGTCTTAATAAATAACAACTTAATTCATTTAGGCCATTTTTAAATTTATTCTCGATTCCTATTGGAGTGTTAAAAAATTTTAAACAATTGAATTAATTTACGCCATTTATTTTTAAATTTTTATCTTATTATTCTTAAAGATTATTAATTAGAAGAAAATGGTTAACAAATCAAAGTAAAAATTATTATATTGTTAATTTAAAAAATTCTAAACATCTAACTTAAAAATTGTTAAATGTAGGACAGTTTTTGTGAACTTATTAAAATGATTTTAAAATTTATATATGCTAATCATTTATTTTTGGTTCAGTTTAATTTTTACAAGATATTAATGAAGTGCATATTATAAATGAAATTAAATTTATATATGCTAATCATTTATTTTTGGTTCAGTTTAATTTTTACAAGATATTAATGAAGTGCATATTATAAATGAAATTAAATTTATAAATATCTCTTTTTTAATTCTGAAATCATTGCTATTTAAAAAAATTGTTCTCTTTATATAGATTTAAGATTAAAGATAAAGTCATATTTGATAAGCATTTTACCCTTAATACAATAGAAAAAAAATCAATATGTTCATATTGCAAAGTAAAAATGTCTGGTAATCACTTGTCAAATTTAGAAAGACACCTGGAAAGAAATCACAACAATGAATATTTAAATTATTTAAATGAAAAAACCAAATATCAGGAATTGTTATTGGCAAAAAAACCTAAAATGAATATAAAAACCTTTTTTCCAAAAAAGCATATAAGTATAAATATATCATCTAATGATTTGATGAGTTCTATACTAGAACTTGTTACTGTAAATGGCCGGCCTTTATCAATTATTGAAGATTCGGGATTTCAAAGAATTATAAATCCACTCCTATCTGGGCTCAATTTAGTTATAAACAAAGAAAATTTATCCTGAACTATTAATAAAACAGCCCTATCAATTAGAGACAAAATATAGAGAGAGGTAGAAGGAAAATTAATAAGTTTAAAAGTTGATGCAGTTCAACGACTAGATAGGTCAATTCTTGGTGTAAATATTCAATTTATATCAAAGTCCATTATAAATTTTAGGACTCTTGGAATTGTAGAGCTGAAAGAGAGATGTACAGGAGAATATATAAAAGAGAATATATTAAAAACTTTACTAAAATTTAAAATTAATTTTCAACAAATATACACAATTACTTCTGATAATGGTTGTAATTTTTTAAGAGCTATAAAGCTCCTGAAATCTGAAACTGATTATGATATAAGGAGTGAATCAGCAGATGAGGAAAATATGGATGTAAATGTATATAAATATGATATTGATGATATACAAAATACTTTTTTATCAACTATTATATCCTATCCGATTTATAGTGTACGGTGTGCAGCTCACACACTTCAGCTGGCACTTCAAGATGCTATAAAATTATCACCTATTGTGGAAACCATTGCAAAAGCTAGGAGCCTAAATTTAAAATTAAGACATCCCACTTACCAAAAGTTATTAAAAAATATGAAACTCCCTAAGCCTGTGTTAGATTGCCACAGATGGCATTCAACCCATGATATGTTAGAAATACTGATTTTACTAAAACCCAATATCGAAGATTTTTTTACAGAGCAATCTGATTATTTATTGACTGAAGATTGGAAAGAGATAATAACGATTGTTGAAATTTTAAAACCGCTAAAAATCGCAACCAAACAATTCCAATCTGAACAGTTAACACTGACAGATTTTTATGCAGCATGGTTAAGATGCTGCATCGAACTGGAAAAAAATCCAAACCATTTTGCTCAATTACTATATTCTTGTCTTAAGAACAGAGAAGTAAGGTTTATAAAGATCGAAATTCTCTTAGCTGCCATATACCTGGACCCAAGATACAAGGTTAATTAAAAGCTTAGTAAATTAATTATTTTAGATTTATATTAAAATTGTTATTTTATGAAATATTTAAATATAAACAATATAAATCCTTAAATATTACAGGTATTACTTAGTGATGATGATAAGATTTGTGCGAAAAAACATCTTGTCAATTTATGGAGACAAATTAAAAGCTTAACAACGCCGATTTTATCTGATGATATTAGTTCCGATGAATTTATTGAACAAGAAGATGATTTAGAGAAATTGATACAACTTAAAGAAAGGCAGGAGAAAATACTTAAAAGAGGGCCAACGATTGCTGAGAAAAGTATTGGAACAATAATTACTGGATTTAGCGATTATAAAAGATTAGATAAGAAGGAAAATATTTTGCATTTTTGTGAGTCTGCTAAGCTGGAACACCCTGAATTATATATTTTATCTAAAATCTTATTTGCTGTTCCTGCAACCCAAGTTAATTTTTCATATTTTCACATATAAAAACATTTAACATAGGTTAGCGTTGAAAGATCTTTTTCACATTTGAAATTCATTCTTTCACCACATAGATCGAGGATGAGTGAACAACTCTTGGAAGATATTATGCTAATACGTCTAAATAAAATTTTTAAAATTGATACATGACTATATGCTTTGTATTTTTAACTATATTTGCCTATAAATAAAATAAAAAATTTATTTTTTTATATCAAATTTATGTCTAGTTTTTTATTATGATTTAAATATAGAATTTTTTTATCAACTCAAAAATTCTTGAACCCGAACCAAACCCGGGTTCAAAAATATTTCCCTGAACCGAACCCACCTTTTTTTTATACCCCGAACCGAACCTGGGCAAAAATTTTATCGGGTTCGCATCCCTGCCTGCAGGGGAACCAATGACGTCAGCTGAGATCGGTACTAGTCTTTTTTAACATTAGTCGAAAATATGAGAAGCAAATGATTGTTTAGATCATCCAATACGTGAATTTTTGAAAGTGGGCAAATGATGCAATTCAAAAAATAAATGATTTGGTCAGTTTTAAAAAAATAGGTTAGGCCCTGTTTGCCATTTTAGTGCCTGATGTTAGTATAAAAATGTAAACAATTTATTTTAAAACCAGAAAAATACATGGGATGCGGCTGCAGTTATCTCAGCATTTGGGGAAAAAAATAATAGCTTACATTCAAAGTAAGGCGATTTCGATGAGGGCGGCCCATTGAACTGAGAGGCGGAGTAAATGAGGGAATCGTGACGATTTGTGGCCGAGCTGTAACTGCTACCTAGAGAGGTTATGCTGCCCCCATTGACCAGCATCATGTTATTAACATGGTGATTGCGATCGTTAGCAATAACATTGTCACCATTTCGAATGACTTCACGACTGTGAACAGTGACGCCATCATTGTTAGATGGATACAGAGATACGCGGGCGGGGCGTAGAGTGGAGGCGTCTCGACGGTCGTTTTGCTGGTTCTGTTGCAGCATGCGATGACGGGCCTTCATGTGCTCAAAATTGCCATCAATGCGTATGATACTATACTTGCTTGAGAGATTTTGGCTTTCGTTACTTGTGCTGCCCTTGATTTTTGGATCGCTATCACCACCTCCCATGTCAACATTCGAAAGGTCTCGACCGTTGATCATGGCATCATCGCAAATTTCGGAGGTAACGTGCGGACCAGGCCTCTTCCCATTTTCCACGTCGTTCGATGGTGATGATGATGTCAGGGACTGCGATTGGGGTGTATCGCGTCCACTTATCATGAGGGGAGGCGTACCGACGGTCGATACACCCCCGAATACCTTAATGGGGAAATGGGTGGCTCAGTATTAGAGATCTGCATGGAAAGGCCTTTAATAACAGGTAAATCCTTAATTAAATTATAACATGCAAGGTCAAGAAGTGCAAAAAATTCGGGCAAATTATTTAATGGTTATAAAAATGATTGACTTGTGCAACAAATTATTTTGATTTTTCTTAGTATTACAAAAAGCACTTCTTGTAAGACAGTTACATTTTTTTCAAATTTTTTCGTCATTCTTATTTAGACAATTATGTGAAAACTCGTTCATTGAATTTATTGATGAAGAAGGTAATGCTAGTTTTAACAAGTAAAAATAACCATCTTCCCATTATCAGCATCAGTTAAATAGTGGTTTTCATTTGCCGAGTAAATTAACAAACCAAATAGACTGCCTTACAACAAGAAGCACTTTTTGTAAATAATGATCTTTAAAGGAACAAATTTTTTTTTAAAATGGTTTCCAGATACTGGGATATTCGTATAAATTCGATGTAAGTGACGATTACAAATTAACAACATATATGTGGTTTTACATTGCTTTGGTATAGAAAATATAAATTATTATAATGGTTTGTTTAGTCTCAAATACCAGGATCTATTTCCTAATTACAAATTAAATACTTTCATTTCAACAAGTTATAGTTTTAATATAAGAAAAGAAATATTTTATAGTTGTATGAAATATTTTGGTTAGAGTATTTTGCCCACGTATTACTAAAGCTATGTAAATAAATTATTCGATAGAAGGAAGTTTGAAAAAAGTGTCAATTAGGCCTCACCGAATTATCCTCGGCCGCGTGAATCATCATGAGCTCGCGTTCTACGTCATCATCTACATCATCGTTGACGTCATCACCGTCGTCATCGGATCCCTCGATAACCTCGTCATGTCCGCGTAAATCAGTTCCGTCGGGCGGAAGTTCCGCGTCGTTCTCAGATACGTCGTCAACTGTCTCCACTACCAAACTACCTAAAATATAATTTTTGTTTTGTATATTATGCTGATTTTAGAGTGAAATTTCGAAAAAAATGAGATAAGACCTAGATATTATGATGGTTATACTAGATTGAATCTTTATGGTCATAAGCAAATAGCGAAAATTATAATATATTTATCCTTTGAGTCATTTATTATACCTACAAGTATAAAATTTTAGTTAGTTTATTAAAATTTAAAAATTTTTATATTAGACCTTGGCCCGAATAGGTCAAATGGGGTCGCGTTGGGCTGAGAAATATATTAAATTGCTTAGGCTTAAAAATTTTAATTTTATCATAATAGCGAGTTGAAATCCATCATGAATTTCCCATATTTTCGATTTCCCAAAGCACAATAGAGCCAAACCTCAAAAATATGAGCATATTGGGCCATAAAATAACCAAATTTTAAAAAGGATTGGCCTAAAAGATAATTTATCTTATAAACATAGGCAAAGTCGGGCTGGAATTGGGAAAAATTACAAACTCGGACGGAGATAGGCTTGCAAATGAGTGTTTTGCAGGTTTCTAATTTCACTTTGATGAATAAATTCCTTGAAAATGCTAAAAATAAAAAAAAAATAAAAATAGTATTATCTAATATATATAATCAACTTTTTTTTATTAATTATCATATTAAGATTTAATAAAAAATGAATCTTTAAGATGTTTTAAAATTTTAATAAAATTGTATGTTAAATTTTTGAAATTTTCTAGAATTATATTTTAAATATGTTTTTATTTTTATAATAAAAACGCTTATATTTTTTTAAAGTTTCAAAAGTTTGCGAATCGTATCTTTTGATATTTAAAAATTACCCTATGTAAATCTTTTGCGATTTTTAGCATAAAATATCTTTCATGATTACCAAATTTTTTAAAGTGATTAAAAGGATTGAAATAAAGCCAATTATTGACATCAACATTCTGTTTTAATGAGCTACTAAAAAAAGATTCTTAGAAATCATTATATTTTTTTCATTAAAAATTAAAAAAAAATTGGGGGACTAGATCATATTTATATTTTGAATAAGTTATAATGAAATAAATTTTATTAATTTTTAACGATTAGTTTCTCTTTCCGTTAATACTAAACTTTAAATTCGAATTATCCCAATTTAAAAGAAGTTCAGAGTTTAAAAAATCTGAAAAGATTTTTCTTGTCGAAAATTTTGAGCAAAAGATCCTTGAAAGATGATTATATTATTTAAGATTATTTTCAAAAATATTTATATTTCATTGCGAAAGATTTTTCATGCATAAAGATTTTAAAAAAATTAGAATTTTAGGTAAAATTTCCAAAATTCTGATATAGAATTCTCAAAAATCTTTGAAGTGTAGGGTGGACAGCCAGCTATGGGAAAAGAAGAATTTATATGATAAGTGGCAGATTGTTAAAACCTACTTTTAAAAATAGCGCACTACCGCTATCACTACCCATCAAAAAAAGTAGAAAGCTAATAGCTACTATTTTTTAAAAGTAGCTTTGGCTACTTTTTAAGCTACTTTTTATAAAAAAAAATTAGAAATAAATTTGTTTAATTGCATAGTATCTATTATAATAATCCTTAAAAACGTCAATCAAATTTAGCCAATAGTGTTCTTTCAAAAAATATTTGTGCAATAAAAATAATTATGGCGTAATCGGTTCAATAGTAAATCACCTTACCACACTCAACATTCATTCAATTTAGCTATAATTTTTTTTTATAAATCATATGGAAAACTCTAAAATATTATTATGGACAGAATAAATAATTAAATTTTTTTTCATTCATTAATTTTATTTCTAGATTTACCACATGAAATATACTTGATTTTGTTCCAATTATGAATCATATCATTTTAAATCCTATAAATAATGATTACCATCAAAAATTCGCTAATCTATTGAAACAAATACTCTAAAGGTAAGCACACTATTTATTAATTTTATATTTTATAATTTCTCTATTCTTACCAATAATCTATGTAAATTACTGTCAATCAGTGAATCCTGACTCTTAAATTAAATGGGCCCTAACAGTAGGGTAAATATTATTGCCAAACAGTGAATGCAAATTCACTGCACTGGATACACCCTATTTTGGGTGGTGGAAGCCACTTAATTGTGTGTTTCCCCAGAGAATGACAACCAGTTCTAACATATTTTACAATGTATGTCTCCAGGAATTTAGCAGTAAAACAATTAATGAAATGTTCTCGAAATTTGTTATCAAATGCATTTTTAAAGTATACTTTTATAATATCCATGTTAGGAAGAGGATTCTGAATATAATATGAATGGCAGCTATTTTGACATCTACCTTAACACTAAATTCTAATTGCTATGTATACCTAATAAATTAAGACTCTGGATTTTGACCTATAGCAATTATTTTTGCTAATAATCTTCTAAATAGCTAATTGCAATGGGATGGATACCACCACAGAGTTTGTTGAACAATCAGGTTGACCCCATATTTGATTCTAATCTATGATAAAAGATCTTTGTTTAAAAGAGTATTTATGAAGGTCTTAAAAGCGTGTAAATGTTCTTTTTGAGATAAGTGTAGGTTTTATATGAAATTCCTATGTATATTTAATAGTTCCTCATCACTTAATTATAAAAAATACCATGATATATTTCTTAAAAAATAATTTTTATTATTATTTTAAAACTGGAGATAGAATAAATACCACATTTTATTTTTATTATTTCAAGAAATATTCTCCAACCAACTTCTCTTTAAATCCAAAAATTTTATATAATAATAATTACTATTTATTTTAAAAATTTTAATATATTTTAATGGAATGAATAAAAATTATGGTTATATTATTTTTCTTTAAATAATAATAAAAAATATTCTTTTTAATTTTTTGAACCAGTAATATCAGAATATTTATATAAAACCATACATCAATAATAAAACTTTTAATTCCATTACATAATTGAAAACGTTTTAAAGAATCATGCTGGATGAATTGATTATTTTTTGTTAATGAATAATATATTTTTATCAATAAGAAAAAATAGGGAGATAGAATAATCTAATACTAGCTATAATTTATTTATAAGTTAAAATTCTCACATTTTTTTATGTAAATAGATTAATATATTCTTAAATAATCAATCATTCAAAAAAACTATTTATGACAAAAATGGAGATAGAATAACCTCTAATACAGGTGACAAAATATTTTAATGATTGAAAATGGTTTAACATTTCAATCAGAGATATTCATGAGGAGGCTTGCAGCCCATGGGGTACCAGGTATAATATATTTACTAACGTGCCTGGGCCAGGACAGGGTTTTTGATAAAATGCCTAAAAAAATTTCATTTACTAATTTAAAAATATATTGCATTTTTTATCTTCTAATAATAATAAATTTCAGTATTGCAAACAAAGTGATTGCCTAAATACACTTAAATATTGTTTATTTTCATTTATAACAATTAAATTTTTGGATATGGGCTTGGGAAAAATTTTTGAAACCTATGATGGGCTTGGGTTTGAATGTTTTATTATATATGGACTGGGCCTGCAAATTATTTTTAATGCTGACCTGGAGGTTGATGAATAAATCAAGGCCCGTGAAGGTCTCTAATTTCAATAACTAAATTATTTCATTCCCTATCTGACTTTATTTGAACTTAAAGGAATAATCAAACCACAGATATGCCTTACTTAAATCATTTGCAAAAATATTTCTTATAATTGCTGAATTCAAGAAATTGCTGCACACAAGGTAATAAAGAAAGCCATTGTGAAGTGTACATATGGAGGAAATATTAATCCATTTTTATTTTAGCATAAATAACAAAAGAAAATTATGGTTATGACCTTGCCTTATTTTTAAGAACCCGTTGTCAAAAATATAAGTCACTAGTTGATGGTCTCTCAAGAATGATGGGGAATCAGAATATTCTTCTTTATTAAATGATGGATAAATAATAAATTTTACCTTTATTTGATGAGTGAATCAGAAATTTTCCTATATTATGATATGTGATTCAGAAATATATATTTATTTAGATGATGAGTTATTCTAAAAAATTTTCCATTATTTTTTATAAAATATGTTTATGAAGTATATGGTTAGTTATTTTAATTTATGTGCACAATAAAAAATCTTTTAAAATAAATTTTTATTCATTTGTATTTGTAATTTATAATATAAAAAATATATTCTTGCTAGATAAGTTTTGTGTAAAAAATATAAATTAATAAATCACACTTCATAAGATAGGAAAATTTCTGATTCATTCATCATCAAATAAAGGTAAAATTTATTATTCATCCATCATTAAATAAATAAGAAAATTCTGACTCTCCGTCATTCTTGACGGGCCATCAAATAAAGGTAAAATTTATTATTTATCCATCATTCAATAAATAAGAAAATTCTGATTCTCCGTCATTCTTGACGGGCTATCAGCTAGTATAATACATAAAAATCAACATTTATAAATATTTAAATATAGTTAATTTTGATTATAAAAAAATTTATGTAAAAAGACTATAATTTATGTAATAAAAATAACTATTTATGGTAATATTCATTTTTATTTATTTGTTTGCATTTTAATAATAAAATCATTTCTATACTATCATCCCCAAGTCTAGAGCGACAAACAGAAAGTATAAGCTTCGCCTTCCTATAATCTCTCAGCACTAACACTTGAGCGCAAGGCAGTAATTTTATATAAATATTTTTAATATAAGAAAAGTTATCAAAATACTCATTTATATTTTTAGATTTAAAAAACGCGTCTAGGGGATTTTCTATTATACTAGTATCCTTTATTTCAAAAAAATTATCAATGGAAATAGTTTTTATGGTTCAACTAAGGCATCATTGTTTGCTATCTCAATCATTAGTGTCTGGCGACAAATAATTGTTTTACCAGGGATAGTTTTATTCATGATGGTAGATGATGGATTATCAACCAATGACATTGGATGAACTGTATCAATTATAAAATCGACAATAACTTTAACAGCCAGTTTCTGAGAAATATTGGCATTTGCAATATTATTAATCAATTTAGCTTGAATTGAATATGTCCTTTTGAATATAGTTTCCCATATACCAAAAATATTAAGATGTTTTTCTATTTCTTTAAAACTGTTGGCATTAACATTCTTACAAAATAAAAATTACTTGGAATTTAAAAATGACAATTACCTTTAGGTGTTTCTGAGATAGCTACTAGATTTATTTGAGGATTAAACAAATATATTTGTAGCCACTTTTTATTTTTATATTAATTTGAAAATATTTCCAAATTTTGGAAATGGAAATTTAGTATTTTTGTTATTAAGAACATTTTCTTCTAGGGTGTCTTCCATTTCATTAATATCATAATTGTATGACGCACATCGATTTAAATATCTATTTGCAATGACATTTTAAATAATTTATACCAGATGATTTAGGTTTATAATACAAATTGAAAATATAAATTTCAATATTAAATAATAAAGATTATAAATAATTATGGTATTATATTTAAATTTTAATGTTTATAGTTACATCCATTAAGGAGTGCGATTAAAAAATAAATTAGGGGAAAAAATAGCGCGCTATTAGCTACCAAAAACGATAGCGTGCTACTTGCAGTTAACTACTTTAACAATTCTGGTAAGTGGACAATTTGTTTTCTTTGGTTTGATCCCCAGTGGGACAATATTTTTCTGAAAACAAACTCTTAGGTGACGTTAGAGTTAAAAGACCATAGAACTATGAACTAAGTAAGGTTAATATATTTTCTTTCTTACACTCTCTCTCTCTCTCTCTCTCTATATATATATATATATATTAAAAATAATGGCTCAATATCTACCCACTTACCATAGAGGTTATAATTATAAGTATAATAATATTAAAAAACGATTATTTTATCGATATGGAATTAAGATAATAAGTTAAAATTTCAATATTATATATTACCCGCGCCTTCGCTGTAGGTTGAGGCTCGGGCGATATTTGTTAAACCTGCATCTTCGGGATTCCCGCCTGGACCAAAAAAGACAGGGCTAATCAAAACCAATGAATCGACAGGGAGGACAGATGATGATTGGTCTATAGCGGGACCCGAAACTCGAGTATCTGTTAAGAGGCTAAAGTAAAATAAGTAACAAAACATATCAATGATTTGTGAAAAGTAGGCTTTTTGTGGTTAGCGTAATTCTAGTTACTTATATATATATACTAAAGTAAAGGCATTTCCTTTTATCAGGCTTTAAATTGACCCTCGTCACAATGGCAAAAATTTTGTGTAGTATTATCTAGAGCCAGAAAGATATATTTATCAACTTGTGTGTAAACTATCTAAATGATTACTCGACGACGGTTGGCGGAGCGAATATATTGGAAGGCGAGTTAAGTCTAAATCCTGCAACCACATCTCGGTGGCTCACCGAAGTGGTTCCGTTCGTGTCGGCAGGGCTGAATTTGTTGTAAAGCTTGGAAAACATGGAATCGTCGATCAAATTATCGCAAATCGAAGACCCCAACGAGAATCGGGTATGCTTAAGGACAATATTGTTTGAATAGAGAGAAGAGGTGGAGTGGGCGGCGAAAGAATAAGGTTGTTTGGTATGGACGGTGGCCGTATCTACGCGCGATTCCAAATTGAAGTCCTTGGAGATCGAAGAGGAGGAGGCTCGAGACGCGGAATGAGTTTCGCTTTCCGGGAAATAGAGCGCTCTGAATTGAGAATCCTCTAAGCGCTGGTAAAACTATTCGTTTATATAGGGGGAGGAAGGGTAATTCATAATAATATAAGCAAGATTGAAAAAATAAGATAATTATTTGCACCCATCCTCAAATTAAATTTTTATTTAATTACTAGTGATGGTATTTTAACCGCTTTTTTAAATCGCCTAAATCGAGGTATTTAACAACACAATAATGAATTCTACCTGATGGCGATGACTGATTAATAATAATTTGATCAGTTCAGAATTGGAATAACTGGAAAATCGATTTTAAATTTTAGATTCAAATATATGATCAATATAAGTAAAAAAAATTAAGATGTAAAATTTATATGAACAATTTATTTGTTAAAATCAAATTGTCAGAATAGTAAGAAAATAATATGTAAATTATGTGTACAATTATTTTGGTTAAAAAAAGAGAGAAAAGAAAAAGAAACAATTGTTGATTGTTTATTATTATCAGAGACCTGCAGGGGGCAGGGCCTAAAAAATTTTTAATTTTTTTAAATACCTGGGTCGGACTAAAAAATTCTTAAATACCCGGGTCGGGCCGTATATTTTAAAACCGAATATTTAACATAGCCAATTTTGACTGTAAAAATTAAAAATAAATGTAATATATTTTAAAAAAAACCCGGTCCACGAAATTTTTATAAAAAAAAATCCGGAGGCCATGCAAATGGTATCTCTGCAGGTCTCTGATTATTATATTATATGTATTGATAGGATTATTAATGTTATTTATTATTGTCAATTTATTAATAAGGATAATGTATAGATAGTATTAATGTTATTTTTTATTGCTAATTTAGTAATAAAGATTATTAATGTTATTTATCATTAGTAAAAAAAAATTTTCGCGTATAAAATATAAAAGAGGTTACAAAGTATAAATTATGATTATTTAGTCTTCTTTCATTTTGTGTTAATTTGTTTTTTGGGAATTATCAATTTTAATTTTTTTAAATATACCCGAGCCGGGCCTAAAAAATTTTCTTAAAAATAACAGGGAGGGCGGGACATATATTTTAAATGGCCGTTATTAGCTAATAAAATTAAAAATAAATACAATATATAAAAATCGGGGCCGGGCGTGAAATTGTACCTCTGCAGGTCTTGATAAATATTAATAGTGTCTCGATCCGTTAACTATTAAAGTGGTGAATCAAAACTAACAAGTCACTTAACTAGTAATATCATAAAAGTAATTGAACAGGTTTAGTCTCAGTATTGTCCACTATATTCCACATTCAAACGTAAATTACTGTGTTATGTGTCGTGATCGCTATAGGTGATCGGCTCACCATTTGTAACATGGTACAGGGTGGAAAACACCATCTTTCATGCACCCTACACTCTCTTGCGTTTGACCAATCATCCCTTTGTACATTATCCGGTACACACCATCTTGTGCATCAAAAGGTGCTTCCACTTCGACTATTTCTCCTTCCTTTTTTATAGGCCATGTATACAAATCCAACAACCATGACCACCCCAAATATCTGTTAATTCCAGCTCCAGCCATTATGATAATAACGAGGCTGACGATGTCTTTGGTAACCTCTTCTATCTCGTTGCCATTATATACACCTTCTACAGGCTTGCCTTCACAAACTGGCAACTCCTGTTTTCTCATATACAAACCCACATACCTTGCTGCACACACTAGCTCTATGTAATATCTCTTCTTTCTAGTCACGAGAACCGTGAATACAAACAATAAAGACACTATCATAACTAGCCCTATGACTGCATTAGTATTTTTCATCAAACTGAAGAGTACACAAGACCCGAACACCATCATAACAGCATAAAAACTCCTGTCTCTTCAATTCCTTAATGATGGCTTCACGTGCCACGAGTAGGCATCCAAAATTGTTACATACGCTATATAGGTGAGTGTGTAGATATACGTTGCATTTCGCAAACACCAGCATCATTTTTCATTCTCTTCATACTGATGTGATGTAAACTTTTCTTTTAAAATGGTGAGATATATCAGAAAATTTTTTGGCAGCGATATGCAAATTGAACTTCAGCAGAAATTCAGATAATATGATGGTCTTTATTGAGGCGACTTTCTAACTCGAGGCTATAGATATAGGGGAGATCCAACATATAACTAGATTTGAAAGATATTAGATGAAACATTGCTTATAGCCTAAACGTCTATTGATAATAAAGGCGTAGCAGAAAGTGATATCTATATATCAAAGAGATAGCCGGACCGATGTAATCATGGAATCATATCCCGGAGTATAAGAAGCAAAAATGGAAGAGAGTAAGACTAGAATACTGGGATAAGACGGAAGTTGTTAATGGCAAGAAATGTGGAGCGACAACATGAGACATACCAAGTAAAAGAAGTGAGGGAACAATTATCAAAAAGTGGTTCGGTAGGGAATGTGTTTACCACTTTTGATAATGATAGACAATGAGTCCCCATGCTGATACCTTATGGAAGTTAGACCATGGAGTGATGGGAAAAAAGGTAGAGGAGGCAGTTGGGAGAGTTTTCTCAATGAGTGGTTAAACAATTTTTTGGATGGGATTGAGGTACGCATGGAATTTTCATTTGAGCAGTACTTGGCGCGACACAGGGGGACTTGGGACTGGAAGAAATGTGAGTTTCTTAGATGGACCAGGATGGCTATCATAGGAGTATTGCGAGTGTTGTGAAAACTCAGCCAAGGTTTCTATTGTGCTTGTTAGTATCATGCTTGCTATTGTCAGCAGCTTTCACAAGATATCAAAGCTTATGTGTGGGCTTGTTGGCGGTGCTAGAGATGACAAAGACCATAACACATTGGGAAATGAGTTTCATTCTTGTGGTGCCGATGACATGAGTTGGGGCTCCCGGAATCATGCTTACCCTAATGTATCCTCACGTGAAGACATACAATGTTTGCTGATACTATTTTACATAGCTTGCCAAAAAGCGCTGCAAACCAACATGTTTATAAAAGATTCCCTATTTGTCATTATGCTAGCGATTCTGATGTATATAACATCAGGAAGGAGAGAATGGAAAATGATGCTGGTGTTTACTGATCTTTGGGAAATTATACTGAAGGCAGTGTATGTAACCAATGGAAAGAAGAGAAGGGAAAAATCCCCCATCTTAAATTTATCTGTTTAGTAAATATCATCTCAAGCTAATAAAAATTTTCCCCCAATACATTCCCCTCTCCCGAAAAAATGTATACAGTATATCATTATAAGGAAGAATTTGAAAGAAAAATTAATAAAATTTAAAACTTTTTAAAATAAACTATAATTCAATTTTTAACAAGCAAATTTTAAAAAAAGTGAAAACCCAAAATTATTTTTATATAAATCTAATATAGCCAAAGGTCTACAATAAGTGGACCTAAAGATCTCCAATAAAATTTACCAAATAATCCCCCCCCCAACCTTAGCAAAATCCTGGCCTATAGTACGTAACAATTTTGGATGACTACTCTTGGCGCGTGAAGCCATCATTAAGGAATTGAAGAAACACGAGTCTTCATGCTGTTGTGATGGTGGTTGCTTATTGGCACAATGAAAAGTACTAATGCAGTCATAGAACTAATTATGATGGTGTCTTTAATATTTGTATTAACGATTCTCGTGACTAGAATGAGATATTACATGGAGAGTGTGCAGCATCGTATGTGGATTTGGATGTGAGAAAACAAAAGTTGCCAGCTTATGAAGGCAAGTATGATTAAGGTTGTGTTAATGTTAACGAGATAAAAAAAAGGCCTCGTTACTATCATAATAGCTGGGGCTGGAATTTAGATATTTGCGGTAGTCATGGCAGCTGTATACATGGCATATAAAAAAAGAGAAAGAAATAGTAGGAAAAAAAGACCAAAAATCATTAAATTATAATATATAGATTAGATAGACAGTAAATATTTATAATTTTTATTTATTTAAAGAAATAATAATTTAAAAAATATCGCACTAATATAATTTGATAATTTTATCCATGCATCTTTATCATAATTTTTTATAAAATTTAAAAATGTGCTCGGTCTGCAATGGGTTGGTTTTTAGTATACCAGCATGCCTATTTTATAAGTTTCAGTAAAATTAAATCTAAATAAAATAAAGTCAACCAATCAAATAATTTTTAAAAATTGGACAAACGGTTAAACGACTTTTTAGGGCGAGTGGGTAAATTTTTTTAAAAAAAATCATGGGCGGGCGAACGGGTTAAAGAATTTGAAAACATTGGGCAGACGGGCTTAAAAAAATTAAGATAATTCTATATAAAACTTGTTTCGATTAGCGAGAAAATATTTAATAACCACAAGAAAAGTTTTCTTTCGAAATTCAATTTTAATAATAATCATATTTTATAAATCTAGCAACAACGTTAAACGATTGAATAAATAAACTTCTCACTCGATAAAATATTCTTATCAATAAAAGAAATGAGCCAATTGATATTAAAATAAAATAAAACACTTTAAAAGAGAACGTATTCCGATTTCCGGAAATTTTAAAATGGATGCTCTGATTCTAATTTCCGGAAATTTTGAAATGGATGTTCCGGTTAACAGATTTGAACTAGAGTCTCGAATCAAAAAAAATTTTTTATCATTAAGAATTTTTTTTCCCCTTTCAATAGAAAATTTCTTTCATAACTTATGATGATGATTTATTGCTATGATGGTGAAGAAATTTGCTATGGATTCATAAAACTAACATACAACTATTGATCTGTTTAATTGAGACAGTTATAAATGTTTTCAAATAAATAGCCGCGCCACTTCTAGGTGGGAAGAATTTTCCAACTGTAAATATACGCAGCTAGATAGTCTTGTTTGCAAAGTATGTACATATATTTATTAAGCTGCGTCCTAGCTCGTCTTTTTTCTTTTAAGAATTCAAAATATCTGTTATAACTGGCGATTTTTAAAGATTATGATCAGCTGATTTATTTAAATTTCTATTCCTCTATTTATAATCAAATGACTTGTCAGATTTGACAGGCTATTAATAAAACTGATTAAATATTTATTAAAACCATTTAAAATATATCGTAAAAACTTAACCCACATCTCTCAAACCTATAATTAACCCTAGCCCATATCTCTCTGACTTTTAATTCTACTGATTACTCCAGATAATTATTTAATTTTAAATATATCTTATTCAATTAAAAAATTTCCTTCAGTTGAACATTCCTTGAGATGAGCTATTATCGAATTTTAGATTTAAAAAATAGGAATAAGTACAACTTTACGAGTATTTAAAAGATTTTCATCACATCACTTGATCTCAAAATCTATCACCCAAAAAAGCAAAAAAAAATGTTTTTCAGGCTCCTATTCTGAATAGAATTTTAAAAAAAAATTGAGTTGAGGTAGAACGTAATTTGTTTTTTTATTTACATTTGAAAAAAAAGTACCAAGCAATCTTGAATATCGATAAATAAACTAATTCCAGGAAAATTCTTATATCATATCAAGTATAATTTAATGATAAAATCCGTTATCAACCCACCTCATAAAAAATAACGAAAATAAATTGATATACCTCTTTTTCTCCCAGCAAAATATCATCGGCTCGGCACAGCGACACCTTGCCCTTATCCGTCATCCTGTCACAATCTTTGTTGATTTTGGGCCAGGGCAAAACCAACATGTCCAAAAAGGGCAGACCCGATCCGTTAGTACGGCTATCTAGTTCATCTTTCGATCCAGTCGTGGCATAGGAGTAGCCGTTGCTATCAACCTTGTTAGGGTCGGAAGATGAGTCGAAACTCTTGATCGGGGTAAGTTGGGCCGATGATTTGAGGCTAGTGTACATGTCAGAAAGGATTGAATGATTGGATCTGCCGATGGGCAAAGGGGACGTGAGATTTAGGGCTGGACTGGCCCGTCTTTTCTTGAGGGAGAGGGGTGAGTTGAGATTCTTGAACCGATCCGCCAGGGTGGCCACGTTGACCATATTGACGCCACCTATGGTAAAAGGGCTACCACTCCCGTTACTCACGGCCGGGCTAGCGATGGGTTCTTTGAGCGATCATATTTTTTTTAATAAATGATTATCTGAAAATTATTAATAATAACTATAAACTTAAATGAATTGGAATAAATATTAATCAGAAATGCGCCAATACCTTTATAAGAAGTAAAACGAAAGCGTTTAAGAGTAAAATATTGAACTCCATTATACTGTTTATTGAATGTCCAATATTTTACCTTTAAATAATAACCATCATAAACCTGATACATAATAAAGAAAGAGTCGATAATTCCTTTCCATCTTCTTTAACTTGATTTAAAATTTTGTTGCGATAATTATTTATTACGAAGAATAAACAAAACACAAGCATCATAAAAATTCAAAGGAAGTAAAGTGTGTGCTGGTTAGATTTATTACTAAACCGCCGGCTCTTTGGTTGGCTAAATAGCTTCGACTTAACAGCCTAAAAAGCAAGAGACAATTAAGATTTTAAGTATGTCAATCATTTAATTTTCTAAATAAAGATTATCAGGTTATTCGATATCAAATCAATCACTTTACAACCCAACCATCTCAGATTTTGTTAAAATTTGGTATACAAGTTAATGAAGTGTTGTTGATGAATGCAAAATATTAGCCAAAATATAATTTTTGGATAAGAATGATTATCTAAAATTAGGATAACTTTAATATTAGATTCATTATATATATATATATCTATTATGGCTCATTAGCCCTAAGTAAACTATTGCATGTATTTTGAATAAATTAATTTTTAATTTTTGAGGTTATTGTAATTAATTTTTTTAAATGTTTAAAACATTTTCACAAATTTAGATATTTTGTAAAGAGTACCAAGAACTGTTCATATAAAAATTTTTAAAAAAGTTGGAAAAATGAATAAAATAAAATAGCGATAGATTGTACTCAGTATTTTAAATAGCTTAAAATTTAATTTTTCAAAATTTTTTATATTCCATAATATAAAATTTATAGAATAAAATCGCATTTTGGCCAAAAAATAAAATTTCCGGTAAGCGCATTTAAATAGCTAAAAACTAAATTTTTGCAAAATATGCCAGTCAAAGTTTTTATTTATTCGATAAGATTTATTGATTTAATTTATAGTGCTTGTAGTATAGATGTTTAGTTATATTGATTTCTTTAAATTTAATTTGTACATAGCCATTTCGGATTCTTAAGAGTTAAATTATAGGTTATCCCTGTAGTGGTAAAAGATTGACGACAGTTTGATTAGTTTTTCGGAAGAATAAGAATATCAGGTATTGATGCATAATAAAAGGACTGAGAAGGTCCATTATGGTGTTATAATCAGAGACCTGCAGAGGTATCATTTGTACGGCCCGGCCCGGATTTTTTTTTAAAAAATTATTTCGGACAGGCCCGGGTTTTTTTTTAAAAAAATTTCAGACCCAGCCAGGATTTTTTTTAAGTATATTTTATTTATTTTTATTTTTATAGCTAATAATGACGATTTCAAATTATTGATTTTAAAATATACGGCCAGGCCCGAATGTTTTTTTTAAATTTTCACGCCCGGGTCTCTGGTAAAAATATTACCTTTACTTCATCAGTACAGTATCAAAATTAAGTAAAACTAAGATAACGATATTTTATATCGGATCGGGCCGATATTTCACCTATTTTTTAATATCGGTTGTCGGTAAATATTATAAAATTTTTCGATCGATACAAAATGGTGTTTTTAACAAAAATAAAATTATAAAATTTTTAAAAAAAGTTATATCTAAAAACCATTTATTTTTGTAAATAAAATCGAAATCCATTTTTATGTTTAATTTTAATAGTAATAATTAGATAATAAACATTCTGCCATATTGTTATTTTTTTTGCATTCTGTTTATAAAAGTGTGCAATAATCTCTTTAGAATCTGTTTTTAGTGAAGCTAGTGATATAGTCCCCATCACCGCAGACTGAGCTCTGATAAATTGGAAATTTTGGTATTTCTAAAAAGAAATCTTCGATTTATTAATTTTAAATATTAATTTAAATATTTATTTCAAATTTTATAATATACTTGTTTATTACTTATTATGTAAATAGATTAATGTTATTAATTATAATATAAATAAGTGATTTTTCAATAAAAATATTTTATATACATTTAGAATTACAATTGAATTGAATATAAACTATAACTGATCATTATAATATATTTAAATGACTATGGTCTAGTTAAATTATAGATGTTATACTAATAAAAAGTATATTAAAAATTAAAACCATTGGTATCTTTACAGAATACAAAATTAGATAAGGTATCGGATCGGTAATCGGCCGATAACAATTTAATATCGGGAATATCGTATCGGCCTCAAAAAGTGGTATCGGTACACCCCTAGTATTATGGTTTAAAAAAGTTGTATATCTTTGATATTAAATTTTAAAATGGGGTTTTTAGGGATGTATAAAAATACAATATTCCGAAATTTGCCAGAAGGCAATGCTAATCAATATCCCACGCTGAATCACAACTCTAAATGCTATAATTCTAATTAAACGGTGTTCACAAAAATAAATGATTCAATGAATTTATTTTAAAAATGGCTAACTCAATATTTTATCCAGAAAAATATTATGCAAGCCTATAAATTTTGCTCATAGATGGCACATAGGATTGAACATCTATTGGCGAGATCTCGGCGCTTAGGTTATATTTTCCTGCTATGCTGTTTTTAAAAATCAGCTCAAACCAAACCGTTTAACAACACTAGTCTCGCCTAAAGGTCTGCATTTAAAAAATGAGCGGATGGGTTAAGAAACATTTAAATTATAGGTGGGCGGGCAGGTGGGTTAAAATTTCAACTTTTATTTGTTATTTAAAATCATTTAAGTAAACATTAAAAAAATATGCTCCCTGAAATTTCAACATTTTTAATACCAAAGACCGATAACTGAGGATGTTGTGGTCGGAAGAAATTAATTAGGTAAAAAATATATCGAAAACATGTTGGATTTGATTTGCATGGAAGTATACCATCAACATGGATGAAAACCTTATTTTATCCGTTTCCCTAAAAGCAAAGAGAATTCAATTAAATTATAACTGCAGTGTTTAAAATAGATAGCATCCACATCTAATCTTAAAGTAACGAGTTTTTGTATAATTTAGCAAAATTTTATCTACTTAATTTAGTTTAAGTTACCATTTATAAACAATTAATTTAAATTGTTTTTTTATATTATTAATGGTTTCACTTTTTATTTAAATATCTCACTTGAGTAGAGGATATATTTCAAACGGATATCCTACTATGATGGAAACGATCAGTTGTTAAAGTAGCGCGCTATCTTTTTTGGTAGCTATAGCTAATAGCAGGGATGTGAACCCAAACCCGGACCCTTTTAAAAGTAGAGGGTCCAAGGGTTCTAGGTGTCATAAAAATTTTAAAAATATAAATATTTTTAAAAATTTTATTAACTTTTTTGTGGAATCATTTATTTTATCTTCACGTTTTTCTTTCAATTTTCTTCCTGGACTTCCATTTTTTAGAGATTGATATCATAAATTATTTTCCAGTGTAATAATATTTTATTATGTAAATTTATTAATAGAAATACGTTGATTATTTTGAAGGAGAATTATTTTGTAGTACAAGTAATAATATTTTAATTTAAAAATGCACAACAAGTTGGTCCTCAATTTGTATGATGCTAGAACAATTATTAAGTTTGAAAGATTTCTGTAATGATTTTACTATAGGAGCATTCATTTTGTCGGAAGATGATTGGTGCCAAATAAAGGACCTTACTGTTGTAGCTGTTGAAAAAAAGAAGAAATAAATTTAATATAATATATCAAATATCAGTTATTTTCTGACAGGGGAATTAGTGTTTCCTTGTGGATGGGAGTGAAACGAAATCATCACATGGGTTTTTTTAGTAAAGAACAATAAAAGTTCTTTGTGTGCGGTTTGGAGTGAAGAAGACATTATATTGGATGAAGCCGGGATTGATCGGGAAGATTTAGCAATTTAATGATTAAATATTTGTATGAATAAATTGGATTTAGATATTTGTATGAATAAATGGGATTTTTAGACTATATGGGAACTTGGACTATTTCTAGTTGGATTGTTTTGGGTTGATAAGTTTAATTTTTAGAGGGAAGGATTGAGAGTAAGGGGCATTCTTCTATAATGTTGCCAGCTGACCAGGATCGAAAGATTTGGAGTGATTCGGTTTTAAAGGTAAAACAAAATTTTTGTGATATATATATATTATATGATAAATTTTGACAACGCATAAGTACTAACCACTATACAGGGGTAAGTGAGATTAAGGGATTCTAGAATTTTGTTTAAATGTTTAGCTTATAAAGCCCAAGATAGAAAATATGTAATTAGTATTAGGCCGGAATATGAAAATAAGATCAGAAATTTAAGACAATAATATTGGTTATATTATATGTCTAGATGTAAATTGTACATCCAATTGGTATGGTCTTATTATTTGGTAGGCCTTAAGACTCATTGAATGGTGTTATAGGTATTCCGTCATAGGAAGATTAGACCTCAAGATATGACAGAAAGGATTGCAAGATATTTAAATATTGGGAATTTATGCAAGTATATAATATAGAAGTGGATTTTTGTAATAAAGTATTTGTTATATAATTATGCATTGTGGGTTTTTAAAGGGATGGACATGTGTGGGATAGCTTATTATTAAAATGTAACTATATTGTATATGTAATTCAGTTTCAATTAAGGTTGATATATTATTAGGGGATCTATTGAGGGTGAGTTAATGTTGTTTATTTTGTAGTAATTAACCATTTTTATGAAATATCGTGTAATTTTATGAAATAGGTGTAATGTGAATTACACATATGATATATTTAATTATTTTTGATTTAATGTATGAATTTGGTATATATACAAATTTGTAGGGATTTATATGATATATTGGTAGGAATGATGGTATATGAATTTGGTATATATATAAATTGGCATGGATTTATATGACATATGGGTTAAATATGAATTTGATATATATATATAA